CCTTTGCCGGGGTGCCCAGGCTCCTCCCGTCCCCGGATCAAAGTTTCTCCACTGTCTGGGGGCTGGAGGAGGGGGAGGGTGACCCATCAGCCTCGTGCCCAAATCTGGATTCTGCTTCTATTTTCCCCTTTCTGCATGGGGGCCAGAGAGAGAAGAAGGAGAGAGAAGCCTTTGAAAAACGTCTCCTGCTCCATCACTCAGCAATTCACCTCGCCGCTGAGCCCAGTGACACCCCCGTGGTGCACCTCTTAGCCACTCGGCAACTTTTTTCCCTTTTATGATATTTTGGGTTTCTGATTGCCTGCCAAGTCGAACCTTTATCATTTAATAAGCAGAAAAAAGGAAGAAAGAAAAAAAGAAAAAAGGAAAAAAAAAATCCTCTAAGTCAGTCCCAATCTAAAGGGTCCCCATACCTGTCCCCTGCCTCTCTGGGGCTGGTCCTGGACCCGGAGCCAGCGCTCATGGGGATTCAACCACTGGCAGGCAAATGTCAACTCTACTCTAGTCCAACGGGGCTATTTGCACATGTAATTGCGGGAACCGCAAGGAGGAAGGAACACACAGCACTAGGGGGCGTGGCAAGGACTCGGGCAGGTACGGCACTGGCCTTGGTGGGGCAGCGGTGGGAGGTGGCAGGGGGATGGGCAAGGCGGCAGGGTTTCCAGTGCGGCTCACCCCAGAGCCCTGCCTGAGAGCAGAGAGCAAGGCAGGGCTCTGGGGACGAAAACAGTGTCCCACCTGCCGTCCCAGGGCTGCCGCGCACCTTTTCTTACCTCACTTCTTCACCACGTGTCTTTGGGGCCTGGAACATGGTAGATAGCCAGTATCTACTGGAACATGGTAGATAGCCAGTATCTTTGACTAGATGAATAAACCCAGTTACACCTCTCATGCTTCAGACAGGGAAAGGCGTGGTTGTTTAGAATTCCTGTTGGGGACAATGATGAGCCCATGAAGTCCCTAGCTCTCTTACTCTGTAGTTTCTTGGCGGGGGCGGCAGGATGTATGGATGAGGAGGAGACAAATCAAGCAGAGACAGTCTCTGAGAGTCACGATGTCCCTGCTGTGCTGAGACCCCTGGATGGGGCAGCGTGGGGAGGTGCTGCCCGAGGCAGAAGCGATCAGGTTGGGTCTCCTCCCCAAATGCCTTGGCCTCCTCATCTCAGCAGGGCCGGGAGGGGAGCAGGCTGCAGCAGCCCCCCAAGGAAAGCAACTGGCTGGAACCCACTGTTCTAACTACCCTCGCACCGCCTTCCTGGCCTCTCTCCTTCTCCTCCTCCTCAGGAAGGGCATTGCTGTGGGACGTACCAGGGGAAACTCACCCAATTATCTTGCCTTGGCAGGGCCTGTGTTCTCTGACCTGAGTGGTCCTGGGCCCTGGGGCCAGCCAGGGTGTGTGTGGGCTTCTATGGCAAGGCTGTGCCCCCAGGAACCCATTCCTTACCCAAAGGGCAGCTGATCCCAGGAGAAACCACCAGGTTGGTGCCAAGCAACCAAAGGTCTCCTTCCTTTCTACTGCCTTCTCCCAAAGACCACGGACTGCTCCTTGCCATGGTGGGTCGTTCCCACCCCAAATCCAAAATCTGCCCTCGGGAATGGGTCACTGGTCGATGGAACTGAAGCTGACCAGGGGAAGCAGAATCTGGATTTTGCCCGGGCTCGAGGTCAGACACCAGAGGAACAGATCTTTCGGAGTGGGATTTCTGGAAGCTACGAGCTCACGGGCGTTCCTGTGCAGAAACCTGGCTCATCTTACAACTGTACGTGGCCCAGAAAGAGATGGGAACGAGGAAGGGGACAGTGTTTGGAGCCTCAGGGTGTGGGGCTGCGGGCTTCAGGCCCGTGCATTTAGCCTCCTATGGCTGAGGCTTCTTACTGAATTTAACAGCAATCCCACTCCCCAAAGATGTGGCGGATTCGGGCCACATTCTCAGCTTGTCTCTCTTCTGATGGTGTTAAGATGGAAAATTAACAGGCACACACAGTGTGGCACGCCAGGGTGCTTGGACCCAGTGCTGGGCACGCGGGAGGCCTCCGTCAGTGTCAGCGGAGGGTGCCTCTGTGGCCTGGGTCTTTGGCAGAATCTTCTGGAGAGAAGCTGGAGCCTGAGGATGTATTTCATTCTCAACTCTGTGGGGCCTCATCATGCAAAAAAAAATTCTGTCCAACTCAGTACTTTTCTTGGCAAAATAAGTTAAAAACAAAAAAGTTGAGGCAACAAAGCAGCACTGAGCTGGAGAAGGGCCTTGGGCCCCCCCGCCCCTCCCCCAGCACTGTCCCCTCCTGAGCACACCTGGGGAGGCCGAGGGGTGGGGGAAGGAGAGGGCTGCCCTGAACGGCGCTGTCCTGCCCCCAGGAAAAGTCCAGGCGGCTCTCAGCGGAGCTGTGTGTGCAGCAGATCAATACGGGCTGCGGGGCCGCTGAGCTATTATTCACGCCAAAGGGCCTTGTTTGGATGAAGGGAAGGAGGGGGTGCACGAGTTCACAGAATCACAGTCTA